AAAAAAAAAAAAAAAAAAAGGAAATGAGGTCTTGCCAAGTTGCACCAGCTGGTCTCGAACCTGTGGGCTCAGGCAGTCCTCTCACCTCGGCCTCTCAAAGTGCTGGAATTATAGGCATGAGCCACCATGCCCGGCCATACCCTCATTTCTAAGGGATAGTTTTGGGGAGAAAGATCACCTTAGAATTGAGAATATAGCGTATACTGGAAATAATAAAGTAGAAAGGTGGATAGGGAAAAATTGATAGGGATATTAAAGAAAAAGCAACTTGAGGCTGGGTGTAGTGACATGCCTGTAATCCTAGCACTTTGGGAAGTCAAGGCGAGAGGATTGACCGAACCCGGGAGTTTGAGACCAGTCTAGGCAACATGACAAGACCTCGTCTTTACAATAAATAAAAAAATTTACCAGATGTGGTGGCATGTACCTGTAGTTCCAGGTACTTGGAAGACTGAGGCAGAAGGATCACCTGAGCCCAGCAGGTTGAGGCTGCGGTGGTCAATAGCATGCCATTGCACTCCAGCCTGGACAACAGAATGAGACTCCTACTAAAAAAAAAAAAAAAAAAAAAAATGGGGAGGCCAGGGTGAGAGGATTGTCTGAGCTCATGAGTTAGAGACCAGCCTGAGCAATTTGGCAAGATCTCATCTCTACAATAAATCATGAAAAATTAGCCAGGTGTGATGGCGCATGCCTGTAGTTCCAGCTACTTGGAAGGCTGAGGTGGAAGGATCTCCTGGGCCCAGCAGGTTGAGGCTTTGGGGGCCCAGCAGGTTGAGGCTTTGGTGAACCTGCCACTGCACTCCAGCCTGAGTGAGAGTGAGACTCTGACTCAAAAAAAAAAAAAAAAGCAACTTGAATGTGTTCTAGCTATGCTGTATTTAACTTTTGGAAACTACTTTTTCTTTTCTTCTTTTCACTGCAGGTTTATGTTTGCGCTGTGTGCCAAAATGTTTTCTGTGTGGACTGTGATGTTTTTGTTCACGACTCTCTACACTGTTGCCCTGGCTGTATTCATAAGATTCCAGGCCCTTCAGGTATTTGATTACAGCACGCACTACACATTGTATGTGTTAAAAAGAAATTTGTAACTGTAAATATTTAAAGTGATTCTTTAGAAGAAGCCCCATTTAAAACTTGAAGAACAATTGAAAGGAAAATTTGCTTTAAGAAACTTTTTGCTAAGAAAATATTTATTAGATTTTTAATTTGTGTCCCATCACACAATTGCCTGAACTTTAGTAGTACTTCATTCAATTAATTTTGTTTTGTATTATTTTGAGTTATAAGATGCTCAGTCATTATGCAATACTGTATGTAAAGTACTTATGATTAAATGGATGTGTAATTTTGTTTTATAATTAAAGTAAATACAGAATCTTTATGATTTAGTTTAATTCATTTAGTGAAAGAAGATCAAGTTAATTATAAATGTTTATTCAGTGTAAGATGAAAATCAATCAGCAGTTATGAAATTAATACGTATGAAATGGCATACCAAAGGGTCTTTTTAGGTTTAGCCAAGCATTTGGAATATCATTATAAAGTTAATACATCTGAAGCTATTTTATGGCTGTGACCAATTAGGGATCTTTTTAAGTTAAACATTGAAACTCACAAGATTGCCGTGCCTATTCTTGGCGCCACTTTACTCAAAAGAATGCTGAATGGGCACAGCAACCTGCCAGCAGGCCGGCATCACACGATCCTTGTGAGCTGTGGAAGTCCTTGTAGCAGTCGCCTAGCACAGTTTAGGTGCAAGGAGATGAAGTCCTCCTCAGGCGTCAGGGAGCAGTATCTCCTCTATCAGTTTCATATACACAAGGGATGTGTCAATTTCAAGAGTTGCCCTGGGTCCGGGCTTGGCGGCTCTGCCTGTAATCCCAGCACTTTGGGAGGCCGAGGCGAGTGGATTGCCTGAACCCGCGGGTTCGAGACCCATCTGGGCAACTTGGCGAAACCTCGTCTCTACAATAAGTCAAAAATGAGCCGAGCTTGGTAGCATGCACCTGTAGTTCTGGCTATGTGGAAGGCTGAGACGGAAGGATCGCTGGAGCCCAGCAGGTAGACACTGGGGTGGCTGTGAGTGAGTGTGTCACTGCACTCCAGCCTGAGCGATGGAGTAAGACTTCAACTCAAAAAATAAAAAAATTTACCACACTCAGGAAAACCGAAAGCATGAAGTGTCCATCAGATTATTTGTAGTACATCCCAGTCCAGATACAGTTTAGCCATCAGGAGTCATTTTTACTGTAAACTGAGTTGTCTGGAAGCATAGTTGGCATTCTTAGTGTTATCAATTACCATGGTTATAGAGCTCCTAAAGCTTAACTGAAGGTAAGTTTCAGTCCTTTCACAAGCCTATGCTAAGCCTTTTGCTTTAAAGCTTATTCTGTAATAAATTGGAAGGTACTTTGCTTAATGGATTATGTTTGATACCAACATCTTGGTTATTTGATATCTGAGACCGATTTATTGTATAGTTTAGGTTAGTGAAGCCACAGTTGTGTCTATTGCTGTTAGCTTCACTGAGTTTTATGCCCAGAGACTGTTTAACTTAGACCACGACTTCAATTTTCTCACTCCGGATCATCAGAGAAACTTAGGCTAGAATGCACGATGCAATGTATGTTTTAGGTTTAATGCAGATGTATTATAGGCAGAACTCTTTTCTGGATATACCCTGTTAAGAGTAAGTCAGACTTCCATAGCAAAGGCATGTGTGTTTTATATATGTAAACTTTAGTCACTCTGGGTTGAGTTTCACTATGAAATTTGTGATTCTATTAATAAGAATTTTTGGGGAAGGACATTATCAGTAAAGATAATGTAATCCCACCCTGGAGAGTGTATTCAGTAAATCATGAGTGGCACCTAGGAATATGCATTTGTAAATAAATTCATGTTCACAAGGACCAGGTATTTCTCTCAGGAGTTATACTCCTTGAGCCTAGACCCAGTGGTTTTTTAGATGGAAGCAAATTTCAGCTATAGGTAACGTGCTAACTTCTTTCTTCTTCATCAACAGAGGTATCAGTGGCTTGCAAGAGATGCCTTGAACACTGCTAGAGTGTTCTCCCTCTGCCTACCTGGTTTAGAAGGAAGGCTTTCAGGAGTCACCTACTGAAGGGTTGCCAGAACTCTTAGAGTTCATCTCCCTATGATTTAACAGGGATAGGCAGTGTCCGTTTTAACAGTGTTATCTCTTTCTACAGTGTTTTGTTTCATTTGCATATTTGATGAAATTAAAGTGAATAATGTAGTTATGCCTGAGGAGGAATTTCCTTTTTCACAATTCTGGAGAAAATCTCGGTTTGTTTAAGATTGCAGAAATAGATATGGTCATGTAAGACACAGTTCTGGCCTTTAATTTTCTTCTTGGACCCCCACAGTATACTACAATTGTGAATGAAACTGATATGGGAGATCTTTCTGAATAGTATGTCTTTCTGAGTTCTGCTGTTCAGTTACTTAGAAGACTCCTTAGTACCTAGAACTCATTATGAAAATTAGCTTTCTGTATTCATTTATTTTTTGAGTCGGGGTCTCACTCTGTCACCCAGGTTGGAGTGCTGTGGCACAATCAGGGCTCACCACAGCCTCCACTGCTTAGGCTCAGATGACCCTTCCCCCTCAGCCTCCCGATTAGCTGGGACTACAAGTGTATGCCACCATGGTTAGCTAGTTTTTAAAACTTATTTGTAAGCCAGGCTCGGTGGCTCAGCCTGTAATCCTGTGCCTTTGGGAGGCTGAGGTGAGTGGATTGCCTGAGCCCGCGGGTTCGAGACCCAC